TTTTACTAAATTTTATCGAGATCGGTTCAGATTTGGATATATCTTTATCTGATTTCAAATTAATTGTGCACCAAATGGGCAATACAAATCCGAATTTAAAAGATACAAATGCTTCGGCATATTTATTACTTTGAATTTTAAATTATAATTATAATCATAGCGTGTATGATTGAAATCTCCCATAAAAACTTTTAATTGTTATGTGGAGCTCTACTTAATTAGCAAAGTGGTGTAGGGTATCATAAAGTCGGCACCGCCCGACTTTAGGACTTTCTTTACTGTTTTTTTTTTTTTTTTTTGGGAAATTTTGACCTTTTGTTCGGAAGTACCATAAGGTGTGGACCGATATTGCCCATCTCCGAACTCGATTTAAGTTTAATAGTAATATTACGATGTACCAAGTTCGGACCAAATCGGATACTCCCTTCGAGAGTTATTGTGTGCACCGGCCAACAAGCCAGACAGACGGGCGGGCGGAAATCGCTAGATCGACTCTAAATATCCTGACATAGAATCTGAAACCGTTATTTCGATGATGCACGTTTTGACGTTATCAGATGACATATAGCTGAGGGTATACAAATCATATACCCCATACGATTCTGTAAGAGACATTTTAAGGATTTTTTTGCACAAAATTAAATTTTTAACAAAATTAATTATTTAAGGGATTCTTGGGCAAATACATTGTAAATATTTTACAAAAATAATTTTGTGCTCAAACTGTCTCGATTTGTTAATACACTTGTATATCCCACAAATCGAGAGTTACATAGAGGCCTCTAAACTAATTTTAGAGCTTAAAATATAACTCCTTGGAGACTACTTAGAAATGTATCTTATCTTAATCGATTGATATAATCATGGGACCACTTTGAAAAAAATATAACATTTCCAATACTAATTTATAATATCCCACTCACGTAGAGTTCATCTTCCAACAACAGCAAAAACTCCCTTTTGCCTAATACTACTACAACATAGCCATAAAAATAAATAATTTTACTGCTTCGAAAAAAATCAAGGTGAATAAAAATAGCTGAAAAATCTGTTGTGTCTGTTCGCCTATTGTTAAGTGTTCGCACAACATGAAAACGTACGAATGAATGGCTTTTATATGGAGCTGCCTCGTCTCTCGTTTTTTTTTTTTTTTTTTTTTTTTTTTTTTTGATAAATTATAACATTAAGTTTTGTTGATTACATTCAGTGCAACCCCGCCCCCCCGGCCAATGGCACTTTGACATTTAGGTTTTCTCATAGAGAAAAAATAAAAGCAACAACAAGAATGAATAATACCCCTAACTACACATACACACACACACGCATACCATAAAAAAGTCCTACCTTGCTATCGACCTGGCCATAAAGCAAACACGAAAAACGAACACATACTTTATATCATAAAATTTATTATATTTTCTTTTACTTCAAATGCAAGTGGGAGGAAGTCTCTCAAAGAAATGTGTGTGAGTGTCTGTGTGTGTGTGCTTAGAAAATACATATTTATGGTCTATTAGAGTCCATATATTTTAGCTAAATAACAACACAACACAAGACAAGAAACCAATACCAACTAATACCAATGCAATACTGAATACAACCTGCTGTTATTACATGTAGGTATCTTTGAAGTGTCTGCAACGGCTAGGAATTGTATGGCCATTACTATTGTTGTTGTTGTTGTTGCTGCTGCTGCTGCTGCCGTTGACAGCAGGTCTTTGCTAGACCTCGCCAGGTAGGCCTCTAATGTCGACTAGTTCAGTTCATATGTTAAATATAATTTATCGTTTAAAGGAAGTAAATAATAATCAATATTAAGCACACGTGTATTAACTTAATTTATTTCCCCACAATATTTCATAGCAACAAAATGTGAGTGTGTGTGTGCGATGATGGGGAAACAAATAGCCTGAGACATACTTAGGTAGATATTTATGAATGATATGTATGGAAATTTTGATAGATTGAAAAAATGTTTGAGTATTCTAGACAAAAACAAGTAAAAAAGATGTAAGTTCGGCCGGGACCAAATTTGAATATCCTCCACCATTTGGTACCAATTAAAAAAAAATTAAAAATAAAATCCTTTGAAAATTCTGCTAAAATTTAAAAAATACGGAAAGTAGCCGTATATTATATTAGGGTAAATACGACGAACTGGACACACAAATGCAACTTTTTTCACAAGCTATTACAATATTCAAATGCAAAACTTAAAAAATTCTGCTAATAATGTAGCTAAAATCGTCAAGATACCGAATATAGGGAGGTATCATACGGATTATAAAACGTGGACCTGCACAGACAATTTGTTGAAGCTGAAGAATCCATTAAGAACTTCAAATAAAAATTTGAAATAATTCCGGTGAATAATGTGGCTAAAATCGTCAAAATACTGAATATCGGAGGTGATACGAAGACGTGGACCTGCATAGACAATTTTCTGTCATAGGCTGTAGTATATATTACGAACTTCAAATGCGAAATTTAAATTAGTTCCGGTAAATAATGTCGCTAAAATCATCAAAATACCGAATATCGGGAGGTACCGTTATATGGGGGCTATATGAAGGCGTGGACCTGCACAGACAATTTTCAGTCCTAGGCTGTAGTCTCCATTACGAACTTCAAATACGAAATTTGAAACAATTTCGGTAAAAAATGTCGCAAAAATCATCAATGAACTGAATATCGGTGGGTATCGTTATATGGGGCTATACGAAGACGTGGACCTGCACAGACAATTTTCAATCCTAGGCCGTTGTATCCATCACGAACTTCAAATACGAAATTTGAAACAATTCCGGTAAATAATCCGCTAAAATCATCAAAGAACTGAATACTATACGTCTATACGGACTATACGAAGGCTTGGACCTACATGGCCCATTTTCTGTCTTAAGCTGTATTAACTATTATGAACTTCAAATACCAATTTTGAAATATTTCCGGTAAATAATGTCGCTGAAATCATCAAAATACCGAATATCGGGAGGTACCGTTATATGGGGGCTATACGAAGACGTGGACCTACATGGCTCATTTTCAGTACCAAAAGTTCTGCAGACATAATACACATTTGAGTAAATTTTTATTAACTTACTTCATTTCGTCGAAAGCTAGAGTGATTTCCACAGACGGATAGACAACAGATGGATAGACGGACAAACGGACGGACATTGCTAAATAGACATTGAATTCTATGCTGATTAAGAATTGGGATTTAAATTCAAAATTTTGAAATCATCCTAAAGGTCTCTTTTTTTGAATCTTTAAAAATTACACTCTGTAGCTCCATAGTGCTGTATATTTTGATTAATACCCAAAAGAGACATTTTCATCACTTAAATATCCAAGGACCACAAATATATGTTGTGTACCTCTTGTCTACATTTTTCCCTCACCCCCCAACTAAACTCACCACGAATTTGGGCTGCACATGAACCAATAAAACCTATCTTTCATCGTTTATTTGGAAAATCGAAAAATTGCTAAGTAAGACCATGACAATGACTATTCAGTGCTAAACGAAAATAAATACAATTACCAATGTAATTGATTGATCGGACATTAGGCCATGGATAATGGTTAGAATTTGTGAAATGGAAACGACAACCAACAAAAAAAAAAAACAAATATTGGCGAACTCGTGTTGAATAAATGCTGTCAAATTTAATGGCTAAATGACAATTTAAAGAAAAATAAACAGGGACAAATTGAACCCCAAATGACAAAAAAATAAACAAAGGTAAAAAAATAGAATAGCTGGAGCTCTCCTATGGTCAATAGAAGAGCTGGAGCTCTCCTATGGTCTATAAAAGAGCTGGAGCTCTCCTATGGTCTATGGAAGAGCTGGAGCTCTCAATAGAAGAGCTGGAGCTCTTCTATGGTCAATAGAAGAGCTGGAGCTCTCCTATGGTCAATAGAAGAGCTGGAGCTCTCATATGGTCAATAGAAGAGCAGGAGCTCTCCTATGGTCTATAGAAGAGCTGGAGCTCTCCTATGGTCTATAGAAGAGCTGGAGCTCTCCTATGGTCTATAGAAGAGCTGGAGCTCTCCTATGGTCTATAGAAGAGCTGGAGCTCTCCTATGGTCTATAGAAGAGCTGGAGCTCTCCTATGGTCTATAGAAGAGCTGGAGCTCTCCTGTGGTCTATAAAAGAGCGGGAGCTCTCCTGTGGTCTATAGAAGAGCTGGAGCTCTTCTATGGTCTATAGAAGAGCTTGAGCTCTCCTATGTTCTATAAAAGAGTTGAAGATCTGCTATGGTCTATAGAAGAACTAAACCTCTCCTATGGTCTATAAAAGAGCTGAAGCTCTCCTATGGCCTATAGAAGAGCTAAACCTCTTCTATTGTCTTCAGAACTCTTCTATGTTCTATACAAGTTTTAAAACTCTTCTTATTATTCTAGAAGGGCTGAAGTTTTGAAGCTTTTAGTAGAGCTTCAGCTCTCCTATTATCTAGAGGAGATCTCCTATCATATGCAGCTTGAGCTCTGTTTTTTTTTTTTTTTAGGAAGATCTAGAGCCTTCCATATTTATACTAATTCTGCAAAGAAAACTTTTTTTTTTAATAAATATTTTTTTAAGTTCTTAAGATTTCGGTATCAAGGGTTCCCTTGAAGTACTTTGACCCGTTGAGATGTTAAGGATTATTTGATGTTTTCCGTATATGTTTATGTACACACACATAATTTCCCCATCTGGTTAATGGTCAATAAAATATTTGCCAAATTACTTGTGTCCAAGTTATGGCTTCCTTCATTAGCATTATCAAATGTCATAAACATAAATTTTATTATGGTCAACATATTGACAAGGCTCCCACAAATACACCCCGCATACCCCCCCACACAACAACAATTCAACCCCACAACACTTAATTAAGCCATAGGAAGCTAAACTAAAAAGAATTTCACATTTTATTGCTTCCAAAATAATTTCATGGCAACTCGAAAGTAATAAAAATAGCTGCAGGAAATACAAAAATTTCGAAACTTACCTTCCTGTACCACACAGGTCACTTCCAGATTGCCACCCTCCTCGTAGGGGCCAGCACGGGATTCGATGCGCATACGACGTTCATTGAATATCAGTGGTTGTTTGGGTGGCACTGTTCAAAGGGAGAGAGTGGGAGAGAGGGAGAGTAAAAACATTACAAAAACAAAATCAATTAACATAGCTTTCAAATATTTATTTTACAATTGCTAATCTAAGCGGCCATAATAAACCTCAAATTGAATGCCACAAATAAATAAAGTTTCTAGCCTAGATTTATTTGAAGTTTTTTGGGGGGTTTTTGTTTTTATTGCCGAGATTGTTTTTCTCTGGCATTTTACGAGGAATGTTTGCAACAACAGAAAAATTCCAAAAAAATGTTGGTTTAATTAAAAATGTGGCCTGCTGCAACAATGTTGTTGTAATAGTTGTCTATTTAAACGAGAAGTTTGTTTTGGTTGTTTTTTTGTTTCTTTTTTGATGTTAGGGCATTTAGTTTTAGTGGGCAAAAATGGCTTGCTAGGGTTGCCATCTCGTTTTTTTTTTTTAAATAAATAATTTTTTTCCGAAATTTACAAAATATGCCAATAAGAAAATATACAGTGTGCATATCTCGATTACCAGGATGCTATAGGCAAGGAATTTATGGAAAATATTGTGTGGCTCAAAGATGATCTAAGTTCATGTGGCAAATGTCCTGGGACGCAAGGATGGACTTCTAACATTTTTGTAAAAAAATATCAGTTTCAATAAAACAAAAAAGTTAAAAATATCCAAAATTCATTGAATACATTTCGACTTCTGTTGTGATTATTCAAATGATTTTCTCTCTAGGGAGTAGGTTCCGAAGGAATGGGCCAGTGTTGTTCATTTCATATCGGACCTAAAAAAATATGATAAATATTGTGACGTGCCAAGTTTGGACTATATCGACTACTTCGTTCACTTTATATGAAATATGTGATTATTTTTAGAAAATATTGAAATCTGCCTGAATTATCAGGTATAGTGGACCGCAGTGTTCCAATTGTACACTTCCTCTAATACAGATAAAAAATTCTGGTACGGGCATAATTACAAGATAATCAAACATTTATATTCAATTTTATGCGAAATCATAAATACCGATAAATTCCATATTCATCTCAGGTTTTTGGTTGAAATATTTGGATTTAGCAATTTGTAAAGAATGGCTGACTTGTTTCGCAAGTTATGACAATATATTGAAAATTGTGACCCATTGTGAGTGAGGTACCAGAGTGGGGTTCGCAGATGTTTTGTAGGTGTGAAATATGAAGAGAGTTGGATGATTATTTCTCTTTCCTTGAGCATTTTGTTTTTTTTTTTAATCTTGAACCTCTTTGGGAGAGGTACCAGAAGAAATGGTCCGATCTCTACCATCTTTATAACATATCTCGTTTTGATGTAAATATTGAGATGTACCAAGTCTGGAATGGAATCGGATGTTAATTTAGCTGTTTTTATGAGCTTCATGGATATTCAAAACTTTGAGCCATTGTGGGGGAGGTACCACAAGGAGTAGACCGATATATCCCAACTTTACAACTGATCTTGTGTTGGTAAAAATAATGGGATGTGTGAAATCCGAAGAGAACTTATGCTTATTTCAGATTTTATAAACGTTTTGGTTATTCAAAACTTTAAGCCATTGTGGGGGGGAGGTACCAGATGGAATGGTGCGATCTTTACCGTTTTTATGACAGATGCTGCGTTGATAGAAATATTCAGATGTACCATGTCTAAATGGAATCGGGTGTTAATTTCGCATCTTATACGCTTAATGGTTATTCAAAATTTCGATCTTTTGTGGAGGAGGTACTAGAAGGAGTGGACCGGTATATTCTACCTTTACACCAGACCTTGGGTTGATAAAATTATTGGGATGTGTGAAATTTGAAGACAATTGGACTCCTACATCACATTTTATAAGAGTTGTAATTATTCAAAATTTTTACCCATTTTGGGGGAGGTACTTAATGTAGTGGACCGATATTGTCCGATTGAAGACAATCGGACTCTTACATCACATTTATAATTATTCAAAATTTTTACCCTTTGTGGGGGAGGTACTTAATGTAGTGGACTGATATAGTCCATTTTCGCGCCTGACCTAGCACTGGCGCAAATATTAGGATTTGCAAAGGTTGATTAAAATCGGATTATTTTTTCTCTTTCTGTGCAAAAAATATATATATTTTTTAAATTTCGGCCTTTTGTGGGGGAGATACCAGAAGGAGTGGTCGGATTTATTCCATTTCCACACCAGACTGTGGTTTAATAAAAATATTGTGACAATCGGACTCTTACATCACATTTTCTAAGAGTTGTAATTATTCAAAATTTTTACCCTTTGTGGGGAGGTATTTAATGGAGTGGATCGATATAGTCCATTTTCGCACCTGACGTAGCACTGACACATATATTAGGATTTGCAAAGGTTGATTAAAATCGGATAATCTTTTCTCTTTCTGTGCAGAAAATATATTTTTTGAAAATTTCGACCTTTTGTGGGGAAGGTACCAGAAGGGGTGGTAGGATATATTCCATTTTCACACCAGACCGTGGGTTACTAAAAATATTGTGACAATCGGACTCTTACATCACATTTTATAAGAGTTGTAATTATTCAAAATGTTTACCCTTTGTGGGGGAGGTACTTAATGGAGTGGACCGATATAGTCCATTTTCGCACCTGACCTAGCGCCGACGCAAATATTACGATTTCCAAATGTTGATTAAAATCGGATTATTTTTTCCTTTCTGTGCAGAAAATATATTTTTTGAAAATATCGACCATTTGTGGGGGAGGCACCAGAAGGGATGGTAGGATATATTCCATCTTCACACCAGACCTTGGCTTAATAAGAATATTGTGATGTGTTTAATTTGAAAATAATCGGACTTCTGCATCACATTTTATACGAGTTGTCATTATTCAAATTTTCCCTTTGTGGGTGAGGTACTTAATGGACTGAACCGATATAGTCCATTTTCACACCTGGCCTAGCACCGACGCAAATATTAGGATTTCCAAATGTTGATTAAAATCGGATTATTTTTTCTCTTTCTGTGCAGAAAATATATTTTTTGAAAATTTCGACCATTTGTGGGGGAGGTACCAGAAGGAGTGGTCGGATATATTCCATTTCCACACCAGACGGTGGTTTAATAAAAATATTGTGTTGTGTTTAATTTGAAGACAATCGGACTTCTACATCACATTTGATACGAGTTGTCATTACTCAAAATTTTGACCATTTGTGGGGGAGGTTTGATGGAGTAGACAGATATTGTCCATTTTCGCACCTGACCTAGTACTTGCGCAAATATTAGGATTTGCAAAGGTTGATTAAAATCGGATTATCTTTTTACTTTCTGTGCAGAATATTGTGATGTGTTTAAATTGAAGACAATCGGACTTCTACATCACATTTTATAAGAATTGTAATTATTCAATATTTTGACCTTTGTGGGGGCGGTATTTGATGGAGTGGACCGATATTGTCCATTTTCACACCTGGCACTTACGCAAATAATAGGATTTGCAAAGTTATAGCAAGATCGGATAATACTTTCACGTTCTGTGCAGTAAAATATTTTCTTTGAAAATTTCGACTGTTTGGGGAGTGCCAGAAGGATTTCGCCGATATTGCCCATTTTCGAGCTTGATCTTAGTGCGATAATAATATTACGATGTACCAAGTTTTGGCCAAATCGCATACTCCCTTCGAGAGTTATCGTGTACACCATCCATCAGACATATAGGCAGACGGAGGGACTTCGCTAAATCGATTTCAAATGTCCTGAAAAGGATTTGGTCCAATGAGACCTAGGGCCTAAGACCATTATTTCGTTGATTTATTTTGCCGTTTCAAATGATATCTTTGTAGCCAAACGGCTGAGGGTATAAAAAGTCTGAGGTAGAACCTTATCGTGTATAAATGGTAGTTTTGTCAAACAATTTTAGGCTTTTATGTGTTTAGGAAAATTATATTGAAAATTTTGTTTATTTTCAAAATGTGGAATATTTTCTATATACTACGTGGAAAATTGGTATTTGAACCTGGAAGGATTAAGGTATATTTTCTTAAGATAGATGATAGATCATAAAGCTCTTCTATGATTATATTCCCGATAGCTCTTCTATGATATTTAAAATGTGCACATGGCAATACTACTAAGTTGCAGAAAACACATTTACACAATAGAACTATTTTTGGCATTTTTGTGGATTACATTTTTGTGATTCAACCAAAAAACAAACAAGAAAATCCGTTCCTTAAAAAAATCTAAAATAAACCCACTTTAATCTGAGGCCATCAAATGTTAGAAATTAGCAAACCTTCCATGGGAATTCTCACCAACTCCCCTCCCAAAATACCCCACAAATTATTGTACCGTGCATTGTACTTACCCACCACCTCCAGATTGACATTGCTATTTCGTGTTTGCGACAGCTTAAAATCCACTCTACACCGAAAATTGCCGGCGTCTTTCTCCTAAAAAAATTAACATTGATTTCGAAAGTAATGCATTTCCGTTGTAAACGCAAAAGAGAGGGAAAGAGAGTGAAGAAAAAGGAAAAGTTTTAATCAAATTATTTACTGTTAAAAAGAATTCCATTTAATTTTTGTTATTCTCAATTACCTTGACTGGACTCAGTGCCAACTCAGCTGGTTCACGATGGGTATGAAACACGGCACGACTTTCCAGCACCTCTTCGTCTCGCCAGTGGGATGGTGTCCCCGCATGGGCTCCTCTGGTGTCGTAACTAAGGAAATTGAAACGAAGAAAAATAATTATTGATATTTTGAAGCAAAAAATAATAAAATAAAAATATAATAATAATATAATAATAATAATAATAATATAATAATAATAATAATAATAATAATAATAATATAATAATAATAATAATAATAATAATAATAATAATAATAATAATAATAATAATAATAATAATAATAATAATAATAATAATAATAATAATAATAATAATAATAATAATAATAATAATAATAATAATAATATAATAATAATAATAATAATAATAATAATAATAATAATAATAATAATAATATAATAATAATATAATAATAATAATAATAATAATAATAATAATAATAATAATAGTAATAATAATAATAATAATACTAATAATAATAATAATAATAATAATAATAATAATAATAATAATAATAATAATAATAATAATAATAATAATAATAATAATAATAATAATAATAATAATAATAATATAATAATAATAATAATAATAATAATAATAATAATAGATAAATAAATCTTTCATATATATTGTAGCCATGAAAGCCCTTAAGAAACTAAGGATGGAGAAAAATTACCCTGGATTCTGTTAAAGAAAATCTATAATAACACTTAGGTTTCCGCCAGATTAGATTTCAAATTTTCACGACAGTGTCTTTGACTCATTTCCTTCAGCCATGTCATTTAAATTTCTTGGAACAATCAAAATAATTCCCCATACATTACTACAAAATCTAGAGATATATGTCTTACGTTCTTTGAAGATTGTAGAAAAATGATCCTCAAATCTTTCAACAAGCCTCGAAAATAACAAATCTTTCAAATTCTATAATAACCCTTAAATTTCAACAGGAATCATCTTCAAATGTCCTTGTAAGGAGTCCATAAAAATTTTAGATTGGATCACTTCAAGTCCTTCGTTTCCCTAAGGAATCCAGAGAAAAATAGCTTCGATTATATTGAGAAGCCAGAACTATTTGATTCCTTCGAGGATATGCGGCAGATGATCTTGGATTTCTTCAAGAATCCACAAAGACAATATTTTTTCCAAGGAACAACTCAAGGAACAACGACAAGACTTCTTAAATTTTTAGTGCAGGAAAAAAATCGAATTTTGCTTTGTAAACGTTCACAAAAAATTATTTTCAAATTCAATGTCAATTTTGAAAACTTTTTCGCTGCAACTATTTTAGTAGTGTTTTTCAAAAAATTTCAAAAAGCCCAAATTTATATCAGGCAACTTTTCTGGGTGAAATTCTTCGTTGGTAGGAAAGAAGATGGTAAGGGGAATTGAAAGAAAATAAATAAAAAATAATAAATAACTTTAAATACCCTCTACCATTTGGAACAAATTTGGACATTTTCAAAAAAATGTCAATTTTGAAAATTAAAATGAAAATTATTAAATAAATAATGTTTTTCAAAAACTTTCAGTAGCACGACTTTTCTGGCTGGAATTCTTCGTTGGTAGGAAAGGGGGGTAAGGGGAATTGAAAGAAAATAAGTAAAAAGCTATAAGTTCGGCCCTCCTTTGAATACCCTCCAACATTTGGAATGTATTTGGCAATTCTCAAAAACAATAAAATCCGTTTAAAATTCTGTTAATTTCTTAAAAATACCGAATTTTTTCGACAACGTGGACCTGCATAGGCAAGTATTGTCATAAGCCATTACAATACTCAAATACGAAATTTTATTTTGTGGGGTCTAAAATGTATATTTCGAGGTGTTAGAAACGGAATGACAAACTTAATATACCCTCCATACTATGTATGGTGGAGGGTATAACAAGAAAGCAAAGGCCGGGCTGGGCCGATCATGTCGCTTGCCATTATGGTCGCTTGCCATCACGCTAAATATTTTGCAAATATCTTCAAAAACAATAGGCTTCTATTCTGACCCTAACCCAACCCCCATTAAAAATTCTGTGAGGAAAATGGAAAAATGGAAATATGAAGACCAATCAAACTTATAATAATACCAACACGTAGTTTTGTGGGGTATAAAAATTAAATATTATTGACTTTGGAATTGGAAAAAAATTATTTAAAAATATACTGTTTAAGCCCAATAATAATTGAGAAAATAATTTAAAAATAAACGCGATAATTTTTGTAAAATATATTTTAAAAAAAATTCACAAAAATTGTCGTCTGGGTAATTCAAAAAGAATCTTTACAATTATAATTTTAACTCCTTTTAGGAAATAGTTTTAATCAGTACTCGAATACAAACTTGGGATCCCCTTAAAATCGAAGTCGTAAAAATAACCTATTTAGTAATTACTTTAATAATTTCGACAAGTTTATTTATCCTTATTTTTATATCCTTTATAATAATCCATTATATCCATCAAAATAAAATTGGAAAAATCTACGATTGCTGCAGAAATAAATTAAGAAAAACTAAGGATTAAAGTTTACTACCCTTATTCAATAAATATTTTAGTATTCCCCAATTTAGACTTGTACAATTGTAAGAATTATTTTCCTATATTTAAAGACCATGGGCTAACATTTGTTTATGGGGTATTTAAAATGTTTCTCTCAATTTTCTTTAAAATAGCAAAAATTTCAGTCAATAAAATTTTAAAAATACCATTTCAATATTTACCTGTAAATGGGTAAATTGTTTTTGTACCAAACAACCAAAAGTACTTTATCATCCGGTAAACTTGAGCCAACATCACATTTAATTTGAGCAGTGCTATTAACCAGGACACGTAATACTTCACCATCTGCAATAAAAAAGAGAAGAGAGGAAGAATGAAAATGAGAACGAACAAAATAACAGCAACAACAACACGTTTGAAAAAATAAATAAAATATATTGCCAAAAGAAATTATTGTTGAAAATTTTTAGAAGGCATGAAGGGGGGAACGGGGGAGGAAAATGGAGAACGAAATTGGAGTTAGGGGAATACTACAACAAGCAACTGAACACAAAGTACAAAAGATTTAGTATTTAGCTGCAATTTTATTTATGACTTTATTGCTTACAGCACAAATGTTGTAGTAACAACAACAAGGACAACAACAGGGGCAACAACACCCGATAACAAAAAAACAAAAAAAAAAAAAAAAAAAAAAAAAAAAAAAAAGTAGCAACACTTAGAAATATAAAAATATAAAAAATGCATAGAAACGGCAAAGAAATAAAGCTTTCTCTGATTTCATGCCGTGGGGACAGACAGTGGGACAAAATAAGATGGAATTAAAAAGTAAATGTTTAGAAGCAAATTTTTACAAATTCTCCATAATATTTAAAAAGCCAGTTAAGAAAGTCGTAAAGTTGGGCGGGGCCGACTTTATGATACCCTGCACCACTTTGCTAATTTAGTAGAGCTCCGCACCTATAATTATAGTTTAAAGTTCAAGGGAATATGCCGAAGCATTTGTATCTTTTAAATTCGGACTTCTATTGGTGCACAATTAATTTGAAATCGGATAAAGATATATATGGGAGCTATATCCAAATCAAAACCGATCTCGACAAAATTTGACAAAGATATTTCTGAGCTGTATTTGATATATTTCCCTGAATATCGTTGTTACGGAGTGCATATTACGGCTGTGGGTAACAATTATAACAAATCGGATGTACAATATATATGGGAGCTATAGCTATATCTGAACCGATCTTCACCAAATTTGACATACTAGCTTCTAGACTCAATCCGGTCGTATGTTCCAAAATCCATCCCATTTGGACAAATATAAGATGTTTGGTGCACAATAAAAAGTAAATCGGACGAAGTTATATATGGGAGCTATATCCAAATCTGAACTGATCTCGATAAAATTTAGCAAAGGTATTTCTGAGCTGTACTTGATATATTTCCCCAAATATTGTTGTTACAGGGTGCATTTTACGGCTGCGAATGACAAAACAAAACAAAACAAAACAAATCGGATGAACAATATATATGGGATCTATAGCTATATCTGAACCGATTTCGATTAAATTTGACATACTTATTTTCAGGCCTAACTTGGTTGTATGTGCAAAATTCTATACTATTCGGGCTGATATTACACGATTGGTGCACAATAAAAAGCAAACCGGACGAAGATACATATGGGAGCTATATCTAAATTTTGACCGATTATCTCCAATTTCAATAGGATTCGTCCTTGGGCCAAACAAATGTTGTTTCGAAAATTTCATAATAAATGCGACCTGCATTTTGTTCACAAGAATACATGGACAGAAAGACGGACGGACGGACAGACGGACTGAAGTGCATAAATCAACTCAGAAAGTGATTCTACGGAGATCCTCAAAAGTAACTATGGCTCTATCCCTCTTCCTTCTCCATGTTACAAATAAATGCACAAAGACATAATACCCTTACCACCTTACTGGTGTAGGGTATAAAAAGCTGTAAGTTCGGCCGCGCCGAACTTTGAATCCCTCCAAAATTTGAAACGAATTTGACAATTTTCAAAAAAATAAAATCTGTTCAAATCTTAAAAATACCGAATGTAGCCGTTATATTAGGGTATATTCGACGACGTGGACCTGCATAGTCAACTTTTGTCATAAGCCATTACAATATTCAAATGCGAAACTTGAAAAAAAATCGGTGAATAATATAGCTAAAATCATCAAAATACCGAATATAGGGAGGTCCCATTTTATAGGGGCTATACCAAAACGTAGATTTGCCAATTTTCTGTCATAGGCTATGGTGTCCATTACGAACTTCAAATACCAAATTTGAAACAATTCCGGTGAATAATGTAGCTAATATCATTAAAATACCGAAAATCGGGAGGTGCCGTTATATGAGGGCTATACGAAGGCATGGACCTGCAAGGACAATTTTCTGTCATAGACTGAAATATCCATTAGGAACTTCAAATACCAAATTTGAAACGATTCCGGTGAATACTATCTCTAAAATCATCATAATTCCGAATATCGTGGAGGTTTCGTTATAAGGGGGCTATGCGATGGCTTGAACCTTGACAGACAGTTTTCTGTCATAGGCTGAAATATCCATTACGAACTTCAAATACCAAGTTTGAAACAATTCCGTTGAATAATGTTGCTAAAATCAACAAAATAGCGAATATGGAGAGGTACCGTTATATGGGAGCTATACGAAGGGTTAAACCTGCACGGACAGTTTTCTGTCATAGAATATAGTATCTCTTACGAACTTCAAATACCAAATTTGAAACAATTCCGTTGAATAATGTATCTAAATTCAACAAAATACCGAATATCGGGAGTTGCCGTTATATGGGGGCTATACGAAAACGTGGACCTGCACCGACAATTTTCTGTCATAGGTTATAGTATTCATTACGAACTTCAAATACCAAATTTGAAAGATTGCTAGCAAATAATGTCGCTTAAATCACTAAAATACCGAAAATAGGGAGGTACCATTATTTCCGGCATACATTTGAATAAAATTTTAGCTAGAGAGTTTTCCACAAACGGACAGACGGACGGACATCGCTAAATCGACATAGAATTTTATGCTGATATTTTGTGGGGTTATAAAATGTATATTTCGAGGTGTTACAAACGGACAGAAACATTTATAATACCCTCCATATACCTTTATGTAGGTGCTGAAAAATTGGTATTGGTTCTAAATTAAATATCCTTAATAAAAATATTTCCCCAAGATTTTTGGCTACCATAAGCACCCTTTCAAACATTTTTTTTTTTATTATTTTTCTTAAAAAATCCTCTAGTCTGATATTTTTTTTCATCCCGTCCCACTGTCCATCCACAGATAAAACTCCATTACTCTTTCCCTAATGGTGCAAAATAACTAAAGCTTAACGGATAAATAAAATGGAAGAAAAAAAAAGTAATGGCAGCAAACTAAAAAAAGGAGAATTTCTTAAAAGCCAAAAGAAGAAGAAATCTACAATTCTCAGTGAACAAATAATGGTGTACAAAACAATTTCAATCAATTGATTTACCCAAAGAAATGAAAAAAAAAAAAAATAAATAAAATTGATACGAAGAAACAACAACAGCAACATAACCCAGTAATGGACGGCAGATAGAGACGGTAACACAAATAGACATGGCTGTAAGAAATAAAATATAAATCTATTTCTGGCAAGCCGAAGACGGACAGAAAAAAAGGAGAACACATGGACATCTATATAATAATAATTGCAAGGAATTGATTCAATTTGGAGCAAGAGCAATTTCGAACATCTTCAGGGGCAGTGGCGTGGATAAGGAATTTTGTGAAGGGGGCAATGGGTTACATACATCCCAACACCTTCCAAGAATTGAAAATTTGTCGATGAATGGAATTTTTTTAATTGTTGTGTTTTTTTCGCCTTCATGAAAATAACTTCCCCCCCCCCACAAAATTCCGCTAGTGACTCTGCGACTGCAAACTTTTCCCTCTCCCTTCAATTATCCTTTATTATTATTAAATATTAAGTGCATTACGTTTCTTTCCTTCGTTCCAAAATTTCAATGACGTTTTGCAGCAATATCGTAAATTAACAATATTGAACTGTCAATTGCGATTTGTTGGCAAGAAATCCAGGGTGGCCAAGGGTGTCGGTTTTGGGCTAATCATAATTAATTATGGAAAATGGATTAAGGATGTGCTTCCAGGTGAAAGAAAACATTTGTTTTTTTTTTTTGAAAATTTGACAAATTTATTTATAAACAAGTAAAAGAGCAGCAAAGTTCGATCAGAAGGAATTTCAAAAATTCCAAAAAAAAAAAAAAAAAATCCGTCGAAAAATACCACTCAAATGAAAACCTCTGTATGAGGGCTATACGAGGACGTGGTGATGAATAAGTAATTTTTTGTCACAGCTTGTAGTGCCCTTTACGAACTTCAAATACGAAATATGACGCAATTCCGGTGAATAATGTCGTGCAAAATCCTGGAAATACATAATATCTCGGGGTAGCGTTATATGGGTGCTATACTAAAACATAGATCTATATAGACATTACTCAGAGGGAACTCCTTGTGTGGATTTTCGGACTATTGCATTGAAAAATGTGGCTAAAATCATCAAAATACAGAAAATCGGGGGCACCATTGTATGGAGGCAATACGATATCGTGGACCTATATAGAAAATTCTCTTTCGGGGAGAAAATTACTCACAGAGAACACATTGTGTAGAATTTCAGACAATTCCATTAAAAAATGTTGCTAAAATCATAAAAATAACGAATTTCAGGAGGTACAGTTATATGGGCGATATACGATATCGGGGACCTATAGAGACAATTCTTTTTCAGGAGGTAAAGTAGTCACGAAGAACTCGTTGTGTAGAATTTCAGACAATTCCATTGAACAATACCGAATATCGGCATTATCGTTATATGGGGGATATACGATATCGTAGACCGATATAGTGAATTTTCGAACTTGAACTGCCTGCAGGTGCAAAATTGAAGCTTCCCATCCTTTTTCATTTTGACTCTAGCGTTATTATAAAAGGCGAACGGACGGACGGACGGAAAGGGCTAAATCATCTTAGAATTTTACGCTGATGAAGAATACATGTGCTGGCTGTAAAATTATTATTTCGGTGAGTTACAAAGGAACTTGACCTTCCTGCAGGTGCAAGTAATAAACCCTCCCTACTATGTATGGTGGAGGGTGAAAAAAATCGGGAGGCCTCCTGACATCTAAAATAGTTGTATACCCTCCACAACAGTAGAGAGGCTATATTATGGTTGCCATCCCGTTTTTAGCAAGAGAACAATATAAAATTCTATATCACTT